ATCATTCTGCATAGACAAAAAAGGATTAAAAAATTACCTCGTACACAAAAGACATAGTCAATGTTAAAATAAACTCATTTTTTACCTGAAGCAAGCAAGTCCTTCCATCTATTAGAAGGCGAGTTCCAGCTGCTTCTTCCTCTGCATATATTACATGACTGTTTCCATCCAACTGTAAGAAATCCAAACTGTTGTAAATAACTCAAGAACCAGATATAGAACAAAAGACCAGTTATGAAATAGTAATTTTAAGGGCAAACTACACTGTAGCTAAATTGAAGATAAAGTCAGATGCAGCACAATAGTTATCGAGTTTATATTTTTCTTGGTGAATAATTCTAGTTTTTGACTAGCATGAATTAAAAATATGCACTTTAGACACATAATTTCTTTGTAGACAGGAAAACCATAGACTATCCATACTAAAGAATTATTTGTTGCTTTAATAAATCTCTTTCCATATATGGTCTTCTGTGAGTCTTAACTCGGATAAAATGATGAAATCATTAAATAATGATAGATCATCTGTACTTAAATGTCCACATTCCTTTCCAAGGGCAAATAAAAGTTTGAACATCTCTAGAAAAATAAAGTACTTTTTCACATAACATTTCTATAACATACTAATAGAGAAGCATAATGCATTCAGAGAGTTTATGCTAAATAATTAAATCGTGATACTAAAATTTTAGAAGCCAGAACAGGAATGGTTTTATGTCCATATCAAGGAAATTACACCAAAAGAATCTAATTGCAATTGAAATAGTAATGACAAATGTTTACAAACCATGGAATGCTATAAATTTGACTATATGAATAGTACTGTTATCAGGAAAACTACAAAATCAAAAACACACATGCAGATAGTTTAGTGAACAAATACTTGCCTGCATTAGCAAACCTCCATCACGTAAAGTATGTATTTCTGCTTCTATCTCTGATTGATTCATTTTCAATCTATAACTTCCAGATCCACCTCGTATCATGTCAATCTAGAAATTGTTTTACAAGATATGAATTACACAAATTTATTATTGCCCACAATGGCATAAGTCTCAACAAAGCAAATTGACATTTATAAGAATACATACTGTATATTTGCTTCCTTCAATGTTCAAGGAAACTTGAGAATGGACAAGAGATATGTGCTGTAACAGTCACAAAATAAATTAGCATCATTAGAAAATAAGGTTTTAAATGCACCGTGAGAACTGTGGTCTTCCCATTTACAATACCTTAGGAGGGATTTGTCCCTTTTCAAGATAGCCAACATAGTCTGAAACCAAAGCTGCACTGCTAGCAGAAGCTTTCTGTATTAATTGAAAGAATCACAGGTCATGAATTTCGCATATGAAACTAACAAAAACTCAAGGAGATAACAGATATAAAAACAAGCTTGCTTACATAGAGTGCCCCTCCAACGACAGAAAGATACCAGGGAGGCCTCTCTGCTCTAACTCGCATTGCAATTCTACTGTCCAGCCAACCTGTGTGAATTTTGTTGTCTCTGTAGTCAGAAGCCTGTGATCAAACATTGTATAAATGTCACTTCAGCATTTTAAACACCTTTTATATAATAACTGGTGGTCATGTGAGTAATTTACATTCAAAAGATCAATGGTGTAATCAACATTGGTACGGATTTCTCCTCGAATTTGAATCTCCTTCAGCCCCAGAACCATATTCGCAATTGCTAAAGCCCTAGATTCTCCAAACGCAAAGACATGTCCTGAGGTAAAAGAGACGATATAAGATGAGATATAACATGAGTATAGTATGGGCATTGTGTTAATACATAATCGTTAAGAACAAGAACGTAATGGAGAATTTATACCCTCAATGACAAATTCACCAATAATGAAGTTTTTTCTATACCTTACTTAACAGAAGAATCATATTTCAAAATCATCATCAGAAGCTCTCACTAATTCTGAGAAACTGAGTGCACATGATATTTTGATTCTTTGCTCAATAACAATCATTCCTATTCCCTAGCTCCTGTAATCTAAAAGAAACTCCATCCATTCCCATAACCTTTTTCCTACTCCACCCCCACAACTTGTGAAATACCCCTCTCTGTATCTTTTTGTTTTTCAGAGAGAGAATAAAATACAGGAAAAGGTTGTAAAATTTTGAGTAAATACATCTGTGGTTACACGTTATATACCTATTGGGAGATACATAGTGCTTTACCACTCATACAGATATGAGGATGTCAACCAACATAAAAATGCAATGAATATGAATTGTCAGCTATACAGCTATTAATGTTAAGAAATTGTTATGCCACAAAAAAACTAACATAACACAGTACAAAAAGGCTATCATTATGGAAAGGTAAGAGGGTGATTGTACATAACCATATCCTTACATATGCTAAGAGGCTATTTTGGATTCAAATCCATAACCAACTGGTCACCAAGCCCCAACTTTACTGTTGTGTCAGGCTCGCCCTCAAGAAACTATTTCCACTGCTTAGTGTGGAGACAAATGAAGAACCATTTTACATACACAAGCAAATGCATATGCACTTTAAAAGAACCATTTGACTAATGCATTTAAATTTCTGTTTTCTTAACCTTCCACCAAACCCAACTGTACATCCTAGCTCTTACTATGATCATAAATCCAAACATTCATCATATTTCCCATAACAAGGCAAGGTGTACTGCTCATTATGCACTGAAAGAAGATGGAGAAGGTAAAAATGAACAAAAAGGATCCATACAATAATATATATGTTAGATCCCATCTTATTTATTATAATCAATTGGTATTAAGTGAATTCTCCAATTTATATATAAGTTGCAGCCCACGAATATAAGCTAACACACACCCTCCGCATATGTCTACCAAAAGAGGATTTTCCAACCGGAATATGCAATTCTCAAAGATTGGTTATAGGCTCTGCTATCATGTTTACATCTTAAAACCAGTTTGTGTTAGTTTTTCAACAAATATACTAGTCGCACCCAAAAATTGAGGTAGGTGGTATGTGATTTCCAAACAATATCAACACAATAATATGGAATATGCAATTTCCCTATTGAAGATCACAATGAGAATCAATAATAGTTAATTTGTTTACTTGTTTCATTAATTAATAATAACTACTTACCAAACTGTGAATCTGAAAATTCATGAATTCCTCCTCCAGACTGCAAACATATAATTCAACAAATTTAGCACCCTAAAACTTAGTTATGCCTGTATCTGAAGAAACAGAAGACTTACCTTGACAGAGAAGTATGCCCACACATTTGGCTTGCTTTTAAAGCTAAGCTCCTGCACAAATACTTGAACTCAGTACAAGTTACAGGATGAATGAAGCAAAAGATGATATTGCTGTTGGACTTGGTAGTTAACCTGCACTTTGCCACTTGTAGGCTTAAAACCATCATCAGGGTCCTCACTAGTCACTCGCACAGCCACACAATGACCTTTGGGCCTTGTAGATTGTGCTTTGTCAAAATCAAAAGGGGTAGCTAAAACTGAAGTTTTTCTCCAAGCATCGTACCCCCCACCATGCTCCACCCCATAAAAGCGCCTTATCTCTGTTAAAGAAGACACATGAAATATATGTAAGAAATCAAATCAATTAGCAGAAAAGAAGAAAGCAAAAATAGTAAAGAGAAGGTTAAACTATTCATTAGTTCCTTAGTGTTTCCCTCATTTTAAGGTTTAGTCTATAAGAGAAAATTGTAAGTTGAAGTCCCTAATCAAAATTTTGTGGCAATTAAACACAGTAAGGAAGGTTTTGTAGCAGATTTACACTGCAAACAAAAAATTCTCGGGATTTGCCTGGGGCCAAAACTTATCTTATATGCAAGTGTAGGGATTAAAACATAAAAAAATTCTTATATAGGGAATAAATTTAAAGTGGTGACAACTGTATTGAAGCACCGACTCCAACATGGACACAATGACTCGGACAGACACAGGAACAGGGCTAATATCCGAAATATAGGACACAGAAAAGTGTCTAATATCTATAATTAACAATACAGAATTCTCAACTGAGAACTAAAAGTTATATGATTCACATTATAAAAACAAATTTATCAAGTTGTACAGTTTTTCTATAATAATGGCCCTCACAATAAAAATTTGGGAAACATATCTCTTTAAAGTTAAAGTAACTAGTTAAGTCTTATGAAAACAAGCATCACAAAAAAATTGAGACTCACAAAGTTTAGAATAAGTTGTTTTGTTTTAATTTCTTCTTACTTTTTTATGATAGGAGAGTCTAGAAAATTATTAGTCGAGAATAGCTGTCAGTTCACTCTCTTTACTTGTGTTCAAATTTTGTCAGAGGTGTCCAAGATGTGTTAAAGATGTGTCAGAACATAAAAATAAAAATAAAAAAAATTAATGATGACACAGCTGTACACTAGTTGAAGGTGTGTCCAACAAGTGTCATCCAGAAAGTGTTGAACATGGTGACAAACTGTTCTACAGGAGGGTTGGTGCTTCCTAATAATTTAACCTAAAGAATATATTGTACCAGGAATTTGCCAAAGTGGGACACCCATCCCAACTGAAACCTGTGCTGCTGGCAGATTTATCTCTGCTATCCACTCTGTAACAGGATGTTCAACCTATATAACAATCAATAGCAAAACGTCACTGATGGTGAAGAAATAGAAAAAAACAAAACAGGGTATCAGAAGTAGGAAGAATTTCAAGCCCACCACCATCCTTATAAAATCTCCAAATAAATAACAGAAGCAATTCCTAAACATAAGTACTAAGCTAAAAAGTAGTTGAGGGTTACCTGAAGTCGAGGGTTCAACTCTAAAAAGTAGTACTCGCCAGTTTCCATACTATAGAGATACTCAACAGTAGCCGCCCCAACATAATTTACAGATTTAGCCAACCTTCTAGCTGCTTGTTCCAGTTTTTTCACCGTTTCCATGGGTGCTACGGTAATGGGACCCTCCTCAATAATCTGTTACAGCCGATGGATTAGACAATTTGCAGATTCATTTCTCTATGGCAATTTAGTGGGCAACAAAAGGTTTGTGTACCTTTTGGTGCCTCCTTTGAACACTGCAATCACGGCTATGTAAAGCTGCAACATTTCCATACTGATCACAGAGTAACTGGACTTCTAGATGTCGACTCTACTTAGATGCAAAGAGATTATCAGAATTCAACCCAGAACCCAATAATCATGTTCTTTTAGATCAAAGATCAGTGGATTATCTAACCTGGGATGCAACTTTCATTATAAATATAGGTGAACCCGGAACTTCACCTTGAACTTGCTTGAACAATGCCCTTACCTCATCATCATTATGAACCTAAAAAGTCCATATGCCTGTTAGTTTCTAAATTTTGCCAAATAAATCACACCAAAATAAGATTGGCACCAAAAGGTTTCTTGCTCTTATGGGTATTTATGCAGTTTTCAACTTGAAAACAATGAAGATATTCCCGAAAGACAAAGTTAGGTTACAAGAGTAACAGCATGAATGCTATAGGATTTTCTAAATGCTATATAGTAGTGTTTATGTAAGAAGCAAACCTTTCTTATGCCTTTACCACCACCACCCCAAGATGCCTTGATCATTGCCGGGTATCCAACAACTTGACAACTCGCTACTGCTTCCTCTGTTGTGTGCACACAAGCTTCCCGATAAATTTCTTCAGGAATAGTAATCAAGGAACTGTCAGGAGGAATTTTCACCTGTAAGAAGAAACTTCAACTCATTAGCACGGCATCCCTTACAAAACAAAGGCACTATAATGGGAGACTGAAATTTACATGAGAACCACTCCATGGAAGGGTTGGCACTTCCGCTGCTTGAGCAATCAAGGATGAACCAATTTTATCTCCCAATGCAGCCATAGAAATGGCAGGAGGTCCAAGAAATACAATTCCTTTTGCTTTTAATGCATCTGGAAGCTCGGGGTTTTCTGAAGCATGACCCCAACCAGGCCACACTGCATCTACATGAGTTATCTCAGCCATCTGGGCAGTACATTGCATGCCAACACACAAAATTTGTGAGTTATATAGGTAAAAAAAGGATCATTACTACATAAGCACTGAAATCACTATAGTTACAAGGATAAACTGCATTGAACTATAGGCCACAAGAAAGTATCCAGCAACAGGAACAAATTGCGTAATACGAATTTTTATCAAGAGAGTATTATTTATGTCTGGAAGTTCGATAGCATTATGTCCTTTCTAGAAGACATTCAAATTGATAACCTTTAAAAAGCATAAAAATGTAAATAAATATGGCCCCGTATAATTTCCATCAATACTTTGTCATTTTTTACTTTCCTTAACAGAATATGCTTTAACAATTTGAATTACAAAATTTCATGAAGTCAACATCACACACCTCAAGAATAAGCTGCACATTGGCATAGTTATTGTTATTGGTCCCACCGGGTACTTCCACAAATTGATCAGCTATTCTGATATGTTCTGCATTGATTCTCATGTCCTCTGGAGTAGCCATGGCAACCAACAAGATGGCTTTCTCTGTGCCAAATGTCTCATAGGCCCAGCTCCTAACACTACGTATAAATTTCACTGCTGCCATTCCATTGTTTGCAATTAAAATGCTATGAATTGGCTTGTTTCCGCCAAGGGCATTGCAGAATTCATCTACTTCAGATATTGCAGCAGGGTGCCTATTTGGTAGTACACTATTTGCATATCCGTTACGACGCCCAATGTCTGCCATTATTGTTCTCCTTCTGTATGTTTCCTATGTACAGCATAACAAAAAAAGATTACCAGCAGCTCTAGACATACGAGAATAAATTAACCTAGGATTCCCTTTTTCAATTTATATTGCTTGTTCGGTAAACTTTCTGAAGAATCATGGTCCAACTTATTATATAGAAGAAACTCAAGATAAAGTACATAATTAATCAGTACAAAATCCATTTCAACTTTACCGGCAAGATCGGCATCAAGTAAAAGATAATGGACAAACAAAAGATAAAGTTGTAAAGTTCGTTTTGGTCAACCGCATATGGACTTAGTAAGGAACTCCAGATTTGGAAACACTCAGAACTGTGGCTGATATGGTTAACATGTTTTGGCAAATCAAGATTTCACCCGTAAAATTCTGCCACAGATACATTCCTCCAAACTTGCAGTTTTCTCTCTAAGATACAAACAGACAAACACAGCCTTCTAGTTCACTCTCACTCTCAGATGCGGTACGGTGAAAACATCAATTGCAAAAGAAAAGAAAAAAAAAAAAAAAGATAAAAGAAAAGGTCAGCGTCTAATGATAACTCACTACCTTTTCAATCAATTAACCCCTCTACCTTCCGATTCAGCAAACAGGCAATTTTTTTACTGGAGCCTCCACACCAAAACCAATTCCAAACAAAAGGGCATAAAAAGCCTCTTCTTTTCCTTCACGAACAACGTGCAATTCAGCGAGTTTTGAACATTTTGATAAAGCGGGCAAGCAGAAAATAAAAATGAAAAAAAAAATGAAATCAAAGAGAACCACACACAGGGGACACAAAGGGAAGAAGAGAAACAATCACAGCACAGACCTTGGGTGGAGAGCTGGGGTGACGAAATCAAGAATTTCTTTTTGTTGTTTTTAATTTTATTCTACAAAATTGGTGGGAGTCGGAGAAGCATTGGGAGCTTAAGAAGGTGAATTACAAGTGAGAGACTTGTTGGGTTAGCCCATGTAAATAGTGATGATCAGTGATGATCATGCGCAAACCAAACCAAACCAAATAGTGAAAAAGTTGGATGGGATTGAGTGAGGTAGGTTTGGGTTGGGTTGGGGCTCTCTATTCAATGAAAGCTGCACGTGGTACCTGCCTCTGCCACACCTCTGGAGAAACTAGTATTAGTAGTAGTAGTTCCCAGCTACCCCCTTCTCTCTCTCTCCCTCGCTTCTGGTTTCTCTCTCTTTGTGACTGGTGAGAATAAATTAGTCGCCGTAATTCAAATTAATCAGTAAAAAAGGGTTCAAAGAATTGGGGTTTGGCTGGGTAGAAGGAGGAGACGCATGTCACGTCATCAATGAGATGAATGAATCTAATCTACCACACCACACCACACAACACATGGAAACAAACATGTAGCTAGATTGAGGTGCCTCTCTTGACTATGCGTTGTATTGTGTTGTTGTGTTCTGTTGGGTGGTGACCGTTGTTGTCCACCAACCCTTCTTCCTTGTACGAGTAGATGTGCGATGAGTCAAATATGGAAGCTATGTTCCTTCCTCCTTTTGCGTCATTTACAATTACAATTACAGCAGCCATCATCTCCTATTCTACCCCTTTTCCCTATTATTTTATTTCATATTGTCAATATCTATATATATCATCTTAATTTCACTTAATCACATCAATTTTTTAAAGCTACAACATATCATTTTAATTTTTTTATTTACCAAAATAAAGAATTAAGTTAAACTAGTTTATTAAGTGTTTACAGTACAGATCTTCAATTGAAATAATTCACACGATAAATGTTGTAAGTTTTTCAAGATAAAGTTTTATATATAAAAACCCAAAACATCATAAATATATAATCACATATACATATACCAAAATAAGAAAAAATAAATAAAATGTACATTGTACACTGTGATGCGATCAAATCGTAAATTGCTATTTTATAATAATTATTTTAAAATTTAAAAAATTCAGAACAAATCTTATAGTTCACACAAAATATATTAGAACTAAACTTAAAAAAACAGATAATTAGTAAGTTCATTGCACGTGTTTACCTTCAAATGAGACAATTTTTCTATCTTTTTTTCCTACCCAGATTTAAAGTTAATGTTTTTAATGGTGATTAGTGAATAAATAACGGAAGATAGTGATGGAAAAGATTAACATTGTTTAATAACATAGAAATGATTTCTTGCACTACTTAGCAGTCTGTCTTTGTCATTATTTGTATGGGTAAAATGGTAATTCGTGGGAACATTTTTTTATTTGTTAACAATTAATATTGACACATATAAGCAGATATAGCATTTCAATAAATTGTGGCATCGGTGATGGTTGGCAGTTAGGTCTCTTCATGACATCCTCACCTTTCTCTACCGCCCTTGATTTTGGCTTTAATTTAATGTGTGAAGTGAAAGAAAGACACACACCAAAAATTCCAATTTCATCATATTCTTTTATTTTTTTACTTAATTTTCACAGGTTCAAAGAAAATGGGCTTAATTGACTCAAAACGCAGAACATTGTGATCCACGATATGTTTGAACCAAGACCAAGACTTTTGAAGTACAAGAATAATTATAACGTAATAGTAACCATTTTTTATGTTACAAAGTGGGTAGGTAATGACCAGCTTTATTTTTGTAATCTTCCGCATGTGGATATTCTTAGGTTGTACATAGAAAGTTTTTCTCTTTTGGCACATAGAATTATTTCCACGTGGATTTATTGACTGACTACACGTGCCCATTGATCATATATGCAGACCAAATCATCTATCTCTCTTATTGTACCGCTTTTGCAATTTCAGATATGAAAATTTTCTTGAATTCTTACACAAAATCAGAAATGAATTATTTAGTTTGTTATGTATATGTATATATAATATATTAATCGTAATGTGATTTGTTATGCACTCAAATTGCGTTTGCAAACCACGTTGGTTTGATATTGTTTAGTGTTTGGTTTCTCTATGATTCTGCTCTTGTGCTTCGCTCATGGCTTCGTCGGATCCCACGTCTCACGTATTTTCCAAATATCAATCATTCGCTCAATACAAAAAATAATCATCTGATATCATATATATTTTGAAAATATAAAATTCATTTTAACTTCTAAAAATATTAAAACACGGGTCTTTTCAGCACAGGTTTGATCACTTTTAATGATAAATGGTTCAAATCGTTACAACTAATTTTAGTTTATTTTATTATGCTTGTCTTTTAAAAAATCAAAATATAATTGTTACATCATGCTAATATCATCATATAAATAATTCAATTTATCACCAATATTTTTTTTAATAGAACAAGTTGCGTTGTGTATAATTATCAAATAAAAGGAAAAAAAAAAAAGTAAATCTGAACATACATATTCTCAATATTTTAATGTACCATTTTATTTCTCCTGTACCAATTTCAAGCTATATTCCTTTTATTTTGATATATTCTAATTTCAATGTCCAAAATAACATTAATACTCATTTATCAATTACATTTTTTATTTAATGACAACAATAATTCACATTACCTCATGCTTATTTGTGTTTGGATAGAATCTAACAAACAATCACACTATTCAATATTATCTTTGAGGATACCATCCCTATCACTTCACAATACTTCTATTAATTATTAAATATTTGGTTTTGTTAATATTATTTGTAATTTATGGATCCAATTGGAACAAAGTAGAGGGAATCCAAGTGCTATCACCATTAAGGAAACCAGGAGATAATATCTCAGCAAAGAGTTTGGTCTCAACATATATTGAAGAAGATGGTCTTCTTTGCATTCTTGGCTTCGATAGCGAACATGGGAAAAGTTTTTTCTTGGGACCCAAAGAGCAAAGAAGAACAATAAAAGTTTTACCATTTTCTGTTCATAATTTTGTTAATGATTTGTATGTATATTACTCCTTAATCAAGTTTATTATTGATTTTAATTTTTTAATTTTTTTTATCTTTGTCATTAAATGAAAATATTTATAAGCTAACTAATAACATTGTATCAATCTCTTCACTTGTCACAATGTTTAGAAATTTGACTATCAATTAATATATATATATATATATATATATATATATATATGTATGCTGTAATTTTTGCCACTCATTAATTAATTTGATGTCATCAACTAACATACAATATATTAAAAATATAGTTTATAAAAAAATGGTGTTCAATAAATATTTATTCCTCTAAATTTGGTGTTTAAAAAAACAATATTATTAATACTCCACGTGTAATAAATATGAAAATTTGATCATCATAACGATAATTTTGTTATTCTGAAATTACCAAATGGTTATAAAAAATTGGTATTTAAAAAAATTAATATTATTAATCTCCACATGTAATAAATATGAAAAACTGATTATGACAGTAATTTGATTATTCTAAAATCAGCAGTGTTTGACGTGTTATCATATTAACAAAATTTATAGACTGTGATATAGTAAAAATTAATATATTAATATTGTTAATTCAAAATTAAAATAATAATTGTTAGTTTATTAATTTTTTGAGATTTAATAAGAAATGAAAATAAAGTATTTTTATTGTAATATTATTTTATTTATGTATTTATTTTTTAATTTATTTATTTTATTTAATATTATTTATATATTGATGTTAATATTACTTTATTTATTTATTATGTTTTAAAAAAATTTGTATAACCAGTTTAAATTGAAAAATTAACCATATAAACAGATATAATTAATTATGTTGTTCTTTTAAAGTAAAAAAGTAGTTACATAGTCAATTATACTACGAACATGATTGATTTACCATCTTTGTCTATTTTTCATCTTTTTCTTACACGGAAAAGAGACGTGTGTTTTGCCATGTTGCCTTTTGCATTTTTCTCATTATTATATTTAAACAGTGTCACATTCATGCAAATTCATTCGCTCACAAATTTAATATATATATAATATTTTTTCAAGACACAGATAACTTTTTCCCACTAGTTTATAATGAGTATTTATATCTTTTATTTTGATTTTTTTTATATTAGATATATGTTTCACATCAGACAAACTTAAATTTATGTAGGATATAATAAATAACATTAATAATAATATAAAGAATTAATATTAATTTATATTGAAAAACAAAAAATAAGCATAAAAGATTTAAAATTTATAAAAATATGAAATTTATATTGGATGTATTAATAACACATAAATTTATGTTTGTTACTGGATAGTCTTCTGACATAAATTTATGTTGAGTATTGATATATTTAATATAATTTTTTTTTATAATATTTAATTTATTTTGTTTTATAGCTAAAATTTGAAAATATTTTTTAATAACAGGTAATCCAAAATTGATATTTTTTATTAGACAATAATTCAAAATACAACAACACAATATAATACAAATTATAAAAATTAAAGTAGTATTAAAAATAAATTTTTTAAAAGATAAATATTATAAAGTTAAACTAATACAAAGTCTAAACTTAAGGTACCTAAATGTTAAATTATATAATATAATACAAATTTTGAACTTAAAAGACATAATATCTTTTTTTGTTTCATAGGTACAATTATATAATGTGTTATTTTCGAGAAGTATTTTCTTTAAACTCCAACAATTCAATAAAATTTTTATCAATCAATTAATTTATTGGTTTTAAACCGAAGAATCTTAAAGTTGTTGATAATCTTATAAAATTGTATCTTGTGTATAATTGTTATTCAAAATCATATTTCAAATAATCATCCAAATATTTTTTTTAATTTCACCAATAACATATCATATCATTTAAATTATCATTTATCCTTTTTTCAAAATTGTTTATTGATGACATAATTGAGATGTCTAATATTTCTCCATGTTATGTCCATATTATATAACTCTTAACAATACCATAGACAATTCCATTTTTACGAGTAAATTTCAAAATTTCTTCAACTTCCTTTTTATATTTTTCACTACTACGACATGCACTCATTCAACTCCGATCTATATCTACTTTTGTTATTAATTTTCGTCTTTCCTACAAATTCAAATACAAATTCATATTTTAAAAAATTAAAATTAATATACAAACAATAAAAAATATAAGATTCAAACTTGTGAAAACATAAAATACTATATATAAATTAAAAATGCATTCAAATAATAAATAAATAATAAAAAATTATAACAGTTTGATTTCAATAATAATTCCGTTGAAATATTCATATAATAATAATGTAATTGAGATTTAAAAAATGATCACAAATTTAATTTAGATATAAAAAAAACATAAAATATTAATCTCAAATATAAAAAATATTTTGGATTTAAATGAAAAGAAATGTTAACCACATATAAAACACAATTTAAATGTTTTGGTTGTTTATTATGATCGAAATATATTATGGAAGGAGTTGAAATATTGACGTCATTATTCCTCAAAAACCTCACGAGCAAGAGGAGGAATAAACCATGAGATTAAATCACGACTTTTATATCCACCTATACGTAATCCGATACGAAAATTGCGTCTCTTGTTTATAAAAGTACCACCGTACTTTTTTTAAATAGTTGGATCCATCGATAACTGCCTGATATAAAAAATATTGGGCA